CTGTGTGTGGCGGAGTGAAGGTAGCGGCGTTCACACTTGTTTGTCGGTCTTGAATAGTCACACTGGTCCGGTGAAATGTCTTGCCGTTCAGAACCGGAATGAGAATGATGATGATCAGAAAGATGAAGAATGGATAGTTTACAGTGGCAGTTTGGATAACTCGTTGAAGCTTTGGCGGGTGTCCGAACTGCTAGCCTGAAAAATGTCCCTATTAAAAGTTAAAACCAATGTAGATCGAATTGACACCACGCGCCGCCTTCTGAAAGTAGGGATCCATGATGGCACGTTTACAGCAAGAAATTTTGTGTTTTTATCGATTGAAATGAGGAACATCACAATTTTGCATTGGGAAGTAGAAAATGTTTGATCAGATATATGGTAGCCTATAAATGGTGTTGAAGATCGATCACCATTGTGTTTATATAAATTTCTATGATACATTTTGTTTATCAGTATCTCTATATGACACATTGTATGTATCTGTATAGTATCTCTACTTCTGTGTTTCTGGATCTTTTTTTGTCTCCATGCTCTCATTATAAAAACAATCTACTAACCAAAATTAGTCTCCTTATAATATATAGAATTCGTGCCAAAAGCAATATTATTTTAATTAAAAAGTCGGTAGATTAACCTTCAAAAATTATTATTTTAATTTCAACAACGAAATTCACGTATGTAATTTGTCGCTAGTTTTTTCAAAATTAACGTTGAATCTCTAATTAGTGGCTAATATTATTAGAATAGCGACAAATCTCTAAAAGTTTGACTTATTACCCAAATTTTGAAATCTTTATGTAATATGTCGCTAATTTGTTCACAATTAACGACGTATTATGGAAGGGCATACACATATTTTAATTATATTTAGTATATTAAAATTAGTGTCTAATTTGTCACTAATTTTGATAAAATATGTGAAAGAACTTAAGTTAGAAATTAAAATAACTTGAAGAATCTTGTTTTCTTCGTTTTTTATTTTCCTAGCTCCCAAGTCTCAATTCTTTTCTTTCACTCCAACGACAACTACTATATCACCACATTCTGTTGGATTAGGTATTTAAGCCCATAACTATAATTGATATATACTTGAATTGATAGCATCATAGTCATTTTGGGTTGCCCTCAAAACTAGCAACTTGACAACATGACTTTTGGAAAGAGATGATGATTTATTATTTGATTAATAAATTGAAATTAATAATTTGTTAATATATTATGAGAATAATATATTAATTAGAAATAGCAATATTTAATTAATATTTAATCAGAAATTAATTCAAATTAATTTTGGGATTGAAAGAATTAATTAAAAGTGCAGGGTCTAAAGTATAATTATTCAATAAATGAACAAGAGGCTCCAGAACCTTCGTAGGGAAGGCTTGGACGGATTCTATATGGATAATCTAGGGTTTCCAGATTATCTAACGTGGATAAATAAGGAGCTGGATAATTACCAAATTAAAATATTATTATTATATTCAGATTATGGTTTTGCACGGCATCCTTGTTGGACTATAACCAGACCCTTACCCCTAAGGAATTTCGGTCACTCATAAGCTTGAAGAGATAGCCGAAATTCTAAGCTCGCTTCTCCTCTCTCCTCTCTCAAACTCTTGCTAGTGTTGGGTGTGAACCACTAGAGGCACGACATTTGTGGTGCTTGCTCTCAAGGCTTCAACAACACAATGATTCTTTGTTATTTGTCAATAACAGTCAATGTATGTTTCTCTTAACCCTAATCATATTTTCGAAAATATGCTAGGTATCTTAGGGTTTCCTTTTGATGTTAAAAGTTGTATGTTTATTTAGAGAAAACATATATCAAGAATTAGGGTTGCATGCACACGTAGGAATTTTGTTTGTTATGCTCAAAACCCATCAGTGGTATCAGAGTTTTTGCTTGTTTTCTATTGAATTGTTTGCAATGGTTGAATTGATCAGTTAGGGTTTATGGCAATTAAACCCTTATGGACTAGGGTTTTTGAAATTAGGGTTGCTTAGGCCCTAGGTTTCGAAATTTAGGAAAGAGTTGAAACCCTTTGCCTTAACCTACAGTTTTCGATCTTGAAGGTTTTCATGCCCCCCAAGATTTCGAAATTTAAGTAAGGATTGAAATCCTTATCTTCCTCACCAAGCCACAAATTACGAAAATTGCTAGATGATGATAGGGTTATCTTATTTTTGGTAATTATCAGTTTATCTAGTTAAATAAGATAATTATAAAATTGGATATATCCCTACCCATTATTTTCCAAATTAAAAGGAAGTATTAGGATTAAATTATCTTATAACATTCCGTTTGAAATTAAATTAAATAAGTAAATAAATAATAAACTCTTAACCCCGAGATGTAAACCATATTATTTTATTATAACCCTTAATCATTAATAATTTAGCAGGGAGTTGGTTTCAGGTGCTAAATGTCATAATTATTGATTATTGGGGGTTAAGTGTAATTTTCAGAGTTGTTTTATAATGATTTCAGAAGGCAGGGGTGTTTGGTAAGTTTGGGAGTTAATATGAAAAAGATTTTATGGGGAGGGACCGAACTTGGAAAAAGGAACATAAGTTCGGATGAAGAAACGAGATTGAACCCGACGCTTCTTCCCTCTTGTTTTGTTGGAACAACCCTAACCCTAACTCATTTCTTCAGCCGCCACCATTCTTGGAGTCCTCTCTGCCGCCCCAAGAAAACCTTTTAATCATCCCATCTTCTTCAATCGTGAGTTCTTATCGTCGTCCGACAAAACAGTTCAACTGATTGAAGGGTGTATCGAGGAAAATGGTGCTCATATTGTGGTCTTTACGTCCACGCTACACCCAACCACCCCGCTGCATTGCCGACTCTGACCGCTGCCTACTACCTCGACATTGAAATATCACCACCGCAACCCTGCTGCCGGACATCGTGGGCAGCCGGAAGAGCCACCGAGACCAGTGACTGTAGCTGTGTTCGTCGCTGCGTGGGTCATGTATGACCTGAAGTTTCTCGGTAAGGATAACCGCATCCCACTCCTTCTTTCCTCTATATTGTTCGACGTCGAGTACGTCGTAGCTGCCATCGGTGGCCTTTGGCCGCTGTTCTCGTCGTTTCTGGCAACGTCAGCCGCCTAGGAGGTGGCCGAGCGTTTATATGCTCAAGTGTATATGCTTTTTATTGTGTTCTTGAGGTTGTATATGCAATTTTTAGCCGGAAAACCCATCACCACCAGCGTGAGGTGGTGGCTGCCACCTCATGTCGCCATTCTGCCGTTACCTTGGGTGGCTGTGTGCACTTGTGTGTGATTGGACTGTTATTTGGGATACTTTTGATGTGTTTTGGTCTAGAATCATAACCACCACCACCACGAGGTGGTGGCTGCCCCCGTGAACCGTCGTCGACCACCACCGCCCGATGTGGCAGTGGGTGGTGTCCGGCCTAGTGAAACCCTAGTTGACCTAAAAACTTAACCATTAGACTAATTGGCATGCGATTGGGTTGGAAACCCTAATTAGGGTTTAGAAAACCCTAATTCTGGAGATGTTAGTTTTGGATTTGTCGCGACCCGCGTTTTGGACCGTTGGATTGGAATTATGAATTAAGCCCGACCACATTGTATGGTTGACCTAGTAGAGTGATCGACTTAATGGATTAAGTCCTTAATGGGTTAAATGTTCTTAATTAACCTTCATTGTCATTTTATGTGAAAACCCTAATTGTATTGGGTTTTGAGTTGGGCTTAGATGTTTGGATTCTTGATGGGCCATCTAAGAACAAGTATATGGACTAAGATATTTGGATCGACTTTAGGGTAAGGCCCATGTGAGGGGTTTGGGCCTAATTTGGAAAATTGGGCCATAAGTTGGGCCTTGGTTCATTGTTTGGCTTTTGGGCCTTCGGACCTTGGGCTTGGATCAATCTAGGTTAAGGGTAAAGTAGTCTTTTACCCCAAGTATGGATTTATGGTTATGTATTGGAACCCAATTGTTAATTGGGTGTTGTTTTGTTGTTGACAGTTCGGAAATCTGTTAGCCAGCAGCCAGGGATCGTCTGCGTGATTCGGCAGTACGAGGTGAGTCTCCTCACTGTATTTAGTGGGTCGAAGGCACCAATGCCGGCTCATAGTATGTTATGCTTATTGTGCTTGTTGTCTTTGTGACTTTTGCATGTGTTATGTATTTTATGTTTACCGAGCGGGGCTCGTGCCAGGCGGGGCCTGATGAGTATCTTGTATGCTAGTTATCAGTATGTGTTTTTATGGTTACCGGGTATGACCTGATGTCGGGTGGGGCCCGATGACCGGTATGTATGCTATTTATCTCTGTGATTTTGGCATGTGTAGTATGTTATATGTGATGGGTTTTGAGCACTACATCAATCATATGGTGTACATGCAAACCCTAAAGCTTTGGATCTAGTTTGTCTAATGAACATGCAATAATTATCCAAAGCTCATAAACCCTAGATCTAGCATATAATAATCGATATTATCATAATAAAAGGGTTTGGATCTTTACCTTGATTGTTATATAGCAATAACAATCTCAATTCCTCTTGATCTTGACTCTTGAAAGCTTAGTGTCTCAAATGTTGCACCTCTAGTGGAATCACAAACACCATGAGCAACAAGATGACTTAGGAGAAGGAGGAGGAGGCACAAAAAAAGTCTAAGAACCCTTAGGGATTACTTCCTCTCGTTTTTTGGGCCTTAGGGGTTCCTTATATAGTTAGGCTATTAGGGTTATCAAACAAGGAAACCCTAATTTGACTGCTTA